CTCAGGGGTCACTCCTGGCTCTGCACTCAGGAATCACTCCTGGTGGTGCTTGGGGCACCTTATGGGATGCTGGGAATCAAACCCGGGTCAGCCGGGTCAGCCGCGTGCAAGGCAAACGCCCTACCCCCTGTGCTGTCTCTCGAGCCCCAGGATAACACTTTTTCTTGTTTTTAGCTTTTTGGGCCACACCCGGCAGTGCTGGGGACTAACTGCTGGTTCTGCAACTCATAATCACTCTTGGGGTTGCTCAGTGGACTGTACGGGGTACTGGGGATCAAACCTAGGTCAGCCATGTGTAAGGCAAACTCCAACCCCTAGGGTGACACAGTATAGACTGGTTCTCAGGTGTCTGTCTGTCAATGACTGATGGGCAAATGTCTTCACACACAACCCCAAGGCCCCTGACACAATCAGCAGACCACCTCATGCTTTTTCTGAGTCACCAAATGGCTGAGTCGGTTGCTGAATTTTCACATGCAAGTTACAAGATAGACACTTCCTCTTTTTTGGATTTAAATTTTTACTGGGGGTCCCAGAGCAGGGAAGTTTTTCCTGTCAATAGAGGTGCCCACAATTCTGTCACTTGAAGCTGGGCCCCTGGAGGCCCGGGACTTGCTGGAACGTTTGGCAAGCTCCCATCATCCCAAGGTTACTGGATAATTGCAGCGTGCGACCTAATTGATCACAATGATGTCTCTGAACCACCATGTTTAGACACGGAATTTTTTCAATATTGATCTCCATCACCAAGAATAGCCCCAAGCATATGGATGGAGCCAAAGTATTTTAAGGTTTTGACATACACCCAGCTGTGTCAGGGCTTACTCCTGGCCAAACTCAGGGCTTGCTCCTGGAAGGGTTTGAAACACTATATGGGGTGCCTGGTTTAAACCCGGGTCAGCCATTTACATGGCGAGCACCTTACCTGCTTATCTCTACGGTCCCTAAAGTATTATTAATATTTTGTAGTGGTTATTGTTTGGGGGTCATACCTAGCAGTGCTCAGGGTTTACTCCTGGCTCTGCACTCACGGATCCCTCCTGGTAGGGCTTGGGGGACCACTCCTGGATTGGCTGTGGCTGCACAATGGCTCCAGCCCTCCCAAAGTATGAATTTTCAAATTGGGAGAAAACAGCATCCACCTAATCTGAACACTTCAAGTAGTCAGTAGCAAGCCGAATTCCAGAAATGTTAAGTCACCGAGTTTGCTGGTAGCAGTGCCAAGACACCTGTTCGGTGGCACTTCACGCCTGGCTTTATTTTAACTGCCCTGCCCAATCCATACACTAATGTGAAGAAACACAGCCACCTGCTTAAACCAAAAGCTAGTAAAATCTTTTTATTTTTTTAAAGTGTTGGGCCACACCTGGCTGTGCTCAAGACTGACTCCCGGCTCACTCTGGAGACCATACAGGACACCATGAACTCAGGGAGGCCACGTGCATGGCAAGTGGCAACCTGCCATACTTCACCGCTCTGGTCCAAACCGACTACTTTTCATGTCTTTCATGGAACTCCTGGCAAGCCCTTACTACGGCAAAGAGCAGGCACAAGGCAGCATGGCTTCAGAAGCCTGCAGGCTCGGCACTGACCTCCAGGCCACGCACCTGAGAGCACACCCAGGGCTTTCCATTCCCCAGAGGCTGGTTACTAGGCTCGCAGTCGCTACACTTTTCCAGTGGGAGTTCAACAAAGTGACCACGCTCCGTCTCTCCTCTCATACTCATGCAACGCATAGACAGAATATTCTTTCCACCTCTGTAATTTATATTACTGAAGCACAACAGTGTATCTTCAATTTAGATTCTCTACATACTTTATATTCCTTTGAAAATTCCAAGATCTACTTCTTACGTTGGCATTCTGCCATCTTGCCAAGTGGATTAAAAGCTGAGCAAGTTGGGGACAGAGAAGACAATACAGCAGGCAGGGTGCTTGCTATGCACACAGCCGACTCGGACTGAATTCCCAGAACTCCATACTGGGCTGGAGTGATAGCACAGCGCGTAGGGCGTTTGCCTTGCACACGGTCGTCCCAGAACTCCATACCTCCTCCTGAGTCTCACCAGGAATGAGCCCTGAGCACAGTCGGGTGTAGCCCAAAAACAACCAAAAATTTTTAATCGTTGGGAAACCTTTCAAGTCTGAGAGGGGTTGGGGCTGGAGCCATAGCACAACGGGTAAGGCATTTGCCTTGCACGTGGCCAACCCAGGTTCAAATCCCAGCATCCCATATGGTCCCCTGAGCACCGCCAGGAGTTAATTCCTGATTGTAGAGCCAGGAGTAACCCCTGAGCATTGCCAGTGTGACCCAAAAAGCAAATAATAATAATAATAATAAAGTGTGAGGGGGCGTGGGAGAGTAGTTAAGATGGAGGGGGATCCAGTATGACAACAATAGTTGGACATGATCACTCTGGACAAGAACTGAGTGTTGAAAGTGGGTAAAGGGATATACGTGATAACCTTTCAGCATCTGTATTGCAAACCACAATGCCCAAAATGAGAGAGAGAGAGAGAGAGAGAGAGAGAGAGAGAGAGAGAGAAAAGAGAGGGGATAAGAGGGGAGAGGGCTGCCTGTCACAGAGGTGGGCTCGGGGTGGGGGGGAAACTGGGGACACTGGTGCTGGGAAATTATGACTGAAACCCAATCAGGAACAGCTTTGTGATGCTCTATCTCGTGGTGATTCAATTTTTAAAACTTTAATAAAGGTTGAGAAACTTGGGATTGGAGAACTAGTATGGGGGTAAGGCACATGCTTCAAGGTTGACCTGAGTTTGATCCTGGGCACCCCATGTGGCCACCTGGACCCCACCAGTCCTGAGCAGTGCTGATGGGTATAGCCCCAAAACCCCAAAATAAATAAAAGGTTGAAAATTTAACTGTTCACTTTATTAGTAAGCAAACTGTTTTAACTATCCTTAATTTGGTGCCTAAACAGTCACTAACAAAACAGCAAAAGAGAATCCTAGAAGTCTTCAAAATAAATTAGCACTCCATAAATTTATACCGATGTCTTTAGAAAGAAAAGTAATGCTTTACTAAATTCCCATTCAATCCCTCAGCTGGTTTTGCCAAGTAAAACAAGTCAAACGACTTTCTTAAAAGAGACATGAAAATATATTATTAGTACTCTCAAGAAAGTTATGCACGCTTCAATTTCAAAACACACTAGTCCATAAGAGGAGAGTATATAATTATTCAAGCTTTGTTCCACAACATCGGCTGGTGAGTGTGAAACAGCGGGAGAGTTTATACTCTTCAAAGGAGGTGCCAAATTATAAGACACAAATTTGAAAATCTCATTTTTCGTACCCAAAGCACTGTCTCAATTTTAAAATCTCAGGATCATTTACAAAGATGGATTCCTCCTTAAGAGCATGTGTACAAACACTTTTCTCAGATACTCACATCCCTCTTTCATCTTCTAGTGGATATACTGAAGCATTCAAGGAAATCATGAAAAGCCAAACAACATAAACTTTGGAACTGTGATTTGGGTTGAAAGGACAGCATTGCTGGACCGGGTCTGCACAGCCTTCTTTAACCCTTTCTTTGCCCACAGGCTACTTCCCCTTCTTGGAACTGGAAGAGCCCCAAGGCTGAGCCGAACTTTTTTTTTTCTCTCTTTGGGTCACACCTGGCGATGCCCAGGGGTTCCTCCTGGCTCTGCACTCAGGAGTTACTCCTGGCGGTGCTCAGGGAACCATGTGGGATGCTGGGACTCGAACCCGGGTCGGCCGCGTGCAAGGCAAACACCCTACGCCCTGTGCTATCTACCCATGAGCCGAACTTTTTGGCTGGATTAATTACCCTTTTGCTGAACCAAGATGCTCTGGACAGAAAACGTTCATACAGAAAATTCCTACCCCTAATAGAATTATATACACATTTTATGGTCTCAATTATTTCAAACACACCCAGAGCGTCTTTTAAAAAAAAGTGAAAACGGTAAAAATAAATCTTCCTTGGACTTAGCAGTGCAACACTGATCCTGCTGCTAAAAGCAGCCTCTCCAAAAAACACAATGCAGTGAGACAAACCATGATTTTACTTACTGCACTACAACAAACTACGGGAAAACAATGAAGGGGTCATCAGGGGCATGGGGGGTTCAAAGAACCAGGGCCCGGGGTGCTTGCCTTCCAGGGGGCCAGACAAGGGCCACATGGTCCTCTGAGCACCTCCAAGAGGGACCCCCGAGTGCAGAGCCCGGAGCAAGCCCGGAGCAGAGCTGAGCGACGGCCCAATCCCAAAATGCCAAAATAAATCGTCGGGGCTGGAGTGGAGTGCTGGCACGGCGGGAGGGCGTTCGCCTTGCACGCGACGCGACCTGGGTTCGATTCCCAGCATCCCACCTGGTCCCCCGAGCGCGGCCAGGAGCAAGTCCCGAGGGCATGAACCAGGAGGAACCTCTGCGCAGCGCCGGTGCGACCCCAACAGCCGAAACAAACCCGTAAGCAACAAAATGGAAATCGGGCGACCGGGGGCTGGCGCGTGGGGCTCCTGCAGCGCACCCGGGCTCCATCGCCGGCGCCCCCGGGGTGCCCCGAGCCCCGCCAGGGGCGACTCCTGAGCGCTGAGCCGGGAGGGACCCCGGGGCACCGCGGGTGGGACCCCAAGAAGGAAAAAAGGTCAACCCGGCACTCGAGACGCTACATTGTATCCGTCACTGCAGCGCGCGGCTGCCACCGAGGGGCTCGGCACCGCGCGGCCGGGGGCCGCTTCCCCGCCTCGACCCCCGCGTCGGTTCCGCCTCGGGGCCGCCGGCCGCTCGCGCGACCACCCGCGGCGCCTCTGGAGAACGGGGGTGTCGGGGGTCGCCGGGCCCCGCGCAGGGGGGTCGCGCCGGCAGGGAGAGCCCCGCGCGCAGGCCCCGCGGCCGAGCCGCCCGCGCCGCCACGTCGCGGGGGACCCCGCCCCGCCCCGCCCCGGCCCCGCGCCCCCCGGCCCCGCGCCCCCGCGCCCCCCGGCCCCGCGCCCGCCGCCGCTTTGTTACCGGCTGCGGGAAGCTCCGGCCGCCGCCGCCGCCGCCGCCGCCCTCGCCCCCGGCCCGCGGCGCCGCCTCGCGCCGGCCGTCGCCCCCGTCGGCCGCGTAGTCGAGCTCGCCCTCCTCGGTCTTGAGGCGCTTGGCCTGGCTCTCGTACTCGCGCTCCTCGTCGAACGCCTCCCGCGGCGACGACGACGACGAGGACATGGCGGCGGCCGGGGCCCGCGGCGGGCAGCGCCGCCTCAGCGCGTCCTCGCTCGGCGCGGCGCGGAGCGGGCGGGCGGGAGGGCGCGGAGGGCGCGACCGCCGCCGCCGCCGCCGCCGCCGCCGCCGCCCCCGAGCCCGAGCCCGAGCGCCGCGGAGTGTCCGGGGACGCGGCCGCCGCTTCCGGCCTCTCGGCGCGCCCGGCCCGGCCCGGCCCGCGCCGCCGTCGCCGCCGCCGCCGCCGCCGCCGCCGCCTCACGGCCGAATCCCGCCGCGGCGCGGGCAGCGCCCCTCCGCCGGGAGCGGCTCCCGATTGGCCGCGGCGCGCCGGCGCGGCTTCCCATTGGCTCCCGCGCCCGCTCGTCCCACGCCGCCCGCCTCGGCCCGGCTCGGCGGCGCCGCGCGAGGCCCGGGCGGCCGCGCAACGCCCCGCGCGGGTCGCTCGGCAGCCGTTGCCGCCCGCGGCCGTTAGCGCGCCCGACGCCGCCCGCCCGCCCGCTCCGAGGGCTCCGGGCCCCGCGCGGCGCCCCTGACGCGGGCCCGTCCCGCGGGGCCGGCCGCGCTCGGGCTCCCGGGCTTCGTCCGCACCGGGCCGGGACCCCGGGCGCCGCCGCCGCTGTCGCCCCACCGCGACACACGCGGCGAGAGGCGCTCCTGCCTGGCACGCGGCGGGCCCGGGACCCCCGCGGCACCCCTGGGCTCCCCCGCGCCCCGCCAGGACGGACCCAGACGGCGGGGGGCAGAGGCCGGGGCCGAGGCTGGCGCGTCCCTGAAGGCCAGCGGCGCCCTCCCGAGCGCCGCGTCCCAGGCCTGGCCCCGACTCCCGGTGCGGCTTCCTCCCAGCCTCCCACTTTCTTTCCAGAGTTGCGGCTTCAACCCATTTTCCCCTCTTTTTTGTGGTTTTTTTTGGGGGGGCGGGGCTGCAGGCGCCACACCGGCAGTGCTCCTGGATCCGTGCTCGGGATCAGTCAGTGCAAGGCCAGGACCCCGCGGCCAGTGCGCCTTCCCTCCTACCCAAAGCCATTTTCAGTTCTTGTGGTTGGCCGGCCCGTCCTGTCTGCAGCCCTGTCATTTGGAGGCCAATTGCAGGCTTTTCCTCCCAACACCCGACAGCTGTCATCAGATTTGCCGGTGACTGCATGTCTTGCCCGATAAAATGGAACCAAAAAGCGATTCGAGGCCTGGAGAGAGGATATGGGGGCTAAGGTGCTCGCCTGGCTCTTGGCTGACCTGGGCTTGATTCCCGCCACCACATGGTCCCCTCGCGGCACCAGAAGAGACCCCTGACCAGGGTTAGGTGTGACTCAATAACCAAAAATGGAAAGGAACTCCAATTTTTTTTCTTTTTTCCAATCAGGGATCACCCCTGGCAGGTATCTGTTACTTCGCTCTACTATGACTTCAGCCCCCAGAATTCATTTTGATAAGATAGAATGGAAACAGACAGAAGAATTGTGCAAGGGCAACGGTCTGAAGGGTTGCAGAATGAGGAAATGAGGAAACGCCAATGGGCAGAGCATTGGGAAGACCTCTGGCAAACTTTCCAAATATTTGCTACGATGTTGCAAAAGCTAACTCCTGGGGCCCACTTTGAACCTGTGCCCCTCAGCTATGACTCAGTTCCCCCCAGCATGGAGGAGGAAAGCCCGGCACTGGGTGTCCTAACCCAACACAGTGGGAGGCAGCGTGCTCTGTATCAAACTTCATTATCTGTTCACTCTTCCTCGGAACCGTGCCACAGGCTCAGGGGTGCAAAGGACAGAGGTCAGTATCTTGACCCAGGCTGGCCTTGGGCCTCGCTGCTGCAGATGCGGCATTGTCCATCAGACGGTGAGGTGCAAGTCTTTGACGAGGAAAATACTAACTCAGCTCTACCCTGCTGTGAGAAGGGCTGGGCTGGGAGACCACCTGAGTATGTGCAGCCCCCAGTCTCAGCCTGAGGGCCCAGGAATGACAACTTCTGGAAAGATAGCATAGTTGAGAAGGCATTTGCCCGCACGCACCTGACTCACAGTTTACTCCCTGGAACCACATACAGTTTCCCAAAACTGTCCAGGAGCCAGCCCAGGGTACCACCAGGAAACCAGTAAGCCCTGAACACTGAACACCATGGGTACAGCCCAAAAATTTAGAAGAAAAAAAAATGAAAATGGATTTGTGTGTATTAGTTAGCAATTGCCACCACCCTCGTGGTCGACCTCCACAGACTCGTCCTGGGCCCCCCACGCAAGAGAATCAATCCTCTGGTATAAATAAATAAATCTATAAGAGAATAAATCCTCTGATATGAATAAAAACCCAGCTATGCGGGACCAGTGGCTGAAAATGCCAGGCCCAGTCCCTTCCCATCTCCTCACCCTTCCGGGGTCCTGGCTGTTGCACCCACAAACTGTCTCCGGGTGCCATGATCCGAGACTCTCAAATGAATCTCGGAACCACGCAACTCGCTGCAGAGATGACTCCGGACCCCAGTTATTTGAAATCTTAGAATCCCAGATGCGTGCGGCCACTTTTGTGACCACACAACATCTCATACTTTTTTTTTGCTGAATCACTTGAGATAGACCTTTACACATCTCATATTGTTCATAACTGCGGTAGCACTGTCACTGTCAGTAGCACCGTTGTTCATCAGTTTGCTCGAGCGGACCCAGTAACGTTTCCATCGTGAGACTTGTTGTTACTGTGTTTGGCATATCGAATATCGAATACATCACGGGTAGCTTGCCAGGCTTTGCCGTGCAGGCGAAATACTCTCGGTAGCTTGCCGGGTTCTCTGAGAGGGGCAGGGGAATCGAACCTGGCTCGGCCAGGCCAGCGGCTCACAAGGCAAATGCCCTGTCCAGCCCTAGTAATGCAAATGAATTACTGTGGGGAAGGCTTAAGTGGTGGTGGGAAACTTAGAAATAATGGAAGGTGCAATGGTCGTGGGATTGATGTTGAAATATTGAATTTAATCAATTATTCTGAACAACTTTATGAAAATAAAAATTAAAAATAAAATAAGCAAAAAAGAGCAGGGGTTGGGCTGGAGCAATAGCACAGCGGGTAGGGCCTTTGCCTTGCACGCAGCCGACCTGGGTTCAACTCCCAGCATCCCATATGGTCCCCCGAGCACCACCAGGAGTGATTCCTGAGTGCAAAGCCAGGAGTAACCCCTGAGCATCGCTGGGTGTGACACCCCCCCCCAAAAAAAGAGCAGGGGTTAAAGCACCTGTTTTGCATGCAGCCAATCTGGTTCAATCCTCAGAACCCTATATGGTCCTCAAACACCTCCAGGAGTGATCTCTGAGTATAGATCCAGGAGTAAAACCTGAGCACTGCTGGGGTTGCTCAAACCTTTTCTTAAGAAATCTCATCGCACATGAGGAACAAGTCATATCTGAATGAGTGGGTGTCCCAGGCTTCTTGGAAGCAGCTCATAGACAAAGTAAGAGCAACGTAATTTTTTCATAGAGCTTATTTTAATGTTTACCATGGGCAGGGCTTCCGTTTACAAAATTCTCTCCCGGTACACAAGGGAGAGCCAGGACACTCAGCACCAATCTGCCCCTCTCTCTCTCTCTCTCTCTGCTATTTAGCGGAGTCCCAAGTGAGCACTGAGGTTAAGGCGCTTGCCTTGCATGTGGCCGACCCTGGATCAAATCACGTATAGTTCCCAGGCATGGGCAGAGATCACTCCCCAGCATGTGGGAGCAGCCTGGGCCTTGTTTCCTAGGGCTCTTTATCAGGATAGAGGAAGTCTGATCTTTTTGTGGATTCAGACAATTTCAGAATGCAGCATCGGAGAATCAAAAATGCCAGTTGGTGAAATAAAACATTTAGATTTGGTGGCCTGTTTTTTGAGGACTTTCCATAAATTAGATTCGGTGTGATTTAATACAGATGAGATAAAGAAATTACACAGTATGGGGCTGGAGAAATAGTACAGCAGTAGGGCATTTGCCTTGCAGATAATCACCCCGGTATGATCCTCAACATCCCATAAGGTCCCCCAAGTACTGCTAGGTGTGATCTCTGAAAACAGCCAGGAGTAAGTCCTGAGCACCGCCAGGTTTGGCCCAAAAAACAAACAGCAACAACAAAAAGTTACAGCCAGAAATGCCTACAAAACTCAGAATCAGCTCCTGAATGAGGTTACCATCTGGAACTTTTTTTTTCTCTCTCAAAAAGTCTGATGCCTTTGGCCAGTTGCCTGGGCCTTTGAGTGGATTAATTGCTACTGATCAGCAGAGGCGGCCCACCAAGAACCCTGAAGACCACGATTCAAAGGGGGGTCAGGGCAGGGCTTGAGCTGAACTCAGTGGAAAAGTACAGGCCTGGCACATGCAGAAAATCTGGGTTTGATGCCCAGCACCAAAACCAGAGCAGGGCTCGGGGGGTGGGAGGTCAGCCTTTGTTGGGGATTTGACTGGCAATTGAGACAAGTAGTCAGGGCCCTTTGGAACCTAGATCCAAGTTGCTCCTTTCATATAATTTGCGTTGTCTCTCCATGGCAAGTAACTTATAGGTAATGGAAGGACTGGGGACAGGCGAGCTGTTCCCTGCTGTTTAAAGCGACAGTTAAGCTGAGCAGACAAGGCACATGCCCAAGAAACAGGCCACAAGGCACACTTGGTATCCATGTCGTAACAGCAGCCTCTGACACCATGCCAACCACCACACAAGTCACACCACAAAATCCTGACAGGAAGCTTCTGCTTCCTGTGCGCCTTGCTCAGTGAGGGACTAACTCCAGTGCGGTGACGAGTGACCCCACTGGAGAATCAGGATGGGGACCCAGCGAGCTGACCTAGGAGTCGGAACTCTGCATCGAAGAGAAGGATGCTTTCTTTTGTGATGGGGTCGGTCACTGCCCTGACTGTCCAGGTCTCATGGGAAGCCACTGATGTGATGGGAATTCCCACCATGGCCACGCAGCTGCGTCCCAGGAAATGGGACAGTTTGCGCTTTTTTTTATTGCCACAGACTTCAGCTACCAGAGGAAGGCGCAGATATGAAGCAAATTGTTTTAGTGTTCCGTTTTTCAAAGTTTGGGGCCATGTGCAGCTATGCTTAGGAATTCGG